ACCACCTGGGCTGTACCAAAAGGTGATTCCTTACTTCCCCCTCAGTTATAGCAAAGGCTCAATATAAATACAGAATCTGAACAGAAACACTGTACCAAACAGTTGGTCCTTAGGTTTCTAATGTTGTTTAAAACTAACAGGGTTTCAGGACAAAGTTCAACAAGTAACTGTACATGTCATGATTTGAATTGGAAATTCGAATCAGACATTCAAATCAAGATGGTTCAAAGGAAATAAGAATTGAGATGTGTTCTAACTTTTAGACTTCTAGGAGGGGAAAAAATTTAACCACCTTTTTTCCATTTTGTAAAAGGAAATAGCCCCCAGTGATGGGGGCGATGGGTGAAGCCCTCTTCCAACCCTCCTCCCTTGGGTCATGTCACAGTGCCAACTGGCAGGGAGCTGGGCAGAGGATACAGCCTGCCAATGTGCCCCCCCCACACACACACACACATCTCCATGCGCAGAAGCACAGGAGGAAAACGCCCAGGGTCTGAGGCTTACCGACTTCTCTCCAGCTGCAGAGCACAGCATGCTGCAGTCCGGGGAGATGGAGCAGCAGTAAACCCACTGCAGGTGGCCAGATAACACCTGGATCTGTTTACCTGGCCGAAAAGAGGAGCAAGCCATGAGCAAACTATGGAAACAACAAAGCTGTGTAGACAGAAGAACCACTAATGGTGACCCAACACCCACAGCCATCCAGTTTTCACAGCTGGATCCAAAGGCACACTGTTTTAATGTAGAGCAAGAGCTATGGTGAGATTTGTCATTTAACATCTGTAAGGAAAAGGAGAAAAAGTAGACAGCTGTAGTCTATTAATATGACATCCTACTGATCAAGGAAATCACTATCTCCAGCTTCTCCGAAATCTACAGGACCAACTGGACAAAGGGCACACAGACTTGCTCCAATGGCGGAGAACGGTCTTTTCAGGTATCTGATCACTTCAAGTGCTGTGAAGCACCCTACCCAGGTCTAAGTGTGTTTTTCATCCCTTCTCCCACCTTTAACCTCCATAATCCTTTCACCACAGTCACAAAGATGGCTCCAGAAGAGTGTAGTCATTAGAGGCTTAGCTCTAGTCAGACAGCCTGGCTTTGAAATGCTGGCTCCACTGCTTACTCAGTCTTAGGTCATGTCTCCACGTCTTGGCTTCTTAAAAAATATCTAACACCCATCCATCAGGGAGTGGCTGAATTAAGAGGGGCATATCCAGCCTGTTCATGATATAGATCTTTCCCTGAGTTGTTTAATTAAAATAAAAAAGCAAGATGTGGAAAAACTATGGGGATACCATTTTTGTGACATAATAACTCTAAAACTCATGGGTGCAGCTGTGTGTATAGGAATATATCAGCACAGAAAAAATGACTGAAGTATGCAGTACAAGTGCTGTGGGGTGGGGATAAAACCAAGGGAAACTTTATCACTGAGCTACGCCTCTAGCCCTTTTAAAATTTCTATTTATTTTCAGTACTAGGGATCACGCCCAGGGCCTTCAAACTCAGCTATATCTCAGTTTTAAAATGTTTGAGATAGGGTCTTGCCAGGTTACTCAGCCAAGACCTCAACTTGGGTCCTCCTGCCTCCACCCCCCGGAGTACTTGGATCCAGGCATACGCCAGTACACCTGGCCATAGGAGCTTCTCCAGATGGATTGTCAGGCTCCAGGGGAAGAGAGGCAAGAGTAGAAAAGGACAATGCCAAGCCTGGAAAGTGAGTAAGAATTGTTAAGTCTGTATTTGGTCATATGTAGGGATTTATGAAATTTACACATGCATTTATGAAAACATAAAAGTATGTCTAGCCATGCACAGTAGCACATGCCTGTAATCACAGTTTATGGAGAACAAGGCAGAAGTATTGCAAATTCAAGGACAGCCAGTGCTACTCAGCAAGTTCAAGGCCAGCCTGAGCTACCAAGTAAAACTTTATCTCAAAAAAAAAAAAGAAAAAAGAAAAAAAAATTAACATTTATAAAAAGTCCGTTAGTTTCTTCAGCTGCCACATCCCAAAGTGGAATGAGAACTGAACACTGCAAGGCCAGCCAGATTGCAGGGCGCTGCCTGACACTTGGGCACACAGCTTTAGTCCCTCACTGCCTTAAAAAGCCCAGTAGCAGCCACGATGCACCCTGTAGCACTCGCATACCCGTCCCAGCCGGCAAGTGGTTTTCAGTCATGCCAGACCTTCCTGAGACAGGAGCTGACTCTGTGCACTTACGAAACCACAGGAATAGCGGTGCTGTCAGAACTGGATGCCACGCAGTGGGTGAGTGCTTGCCTAGCATATATGAAGCTCTGGCTTCAATTCCCAGCACTATTTAAAAAAAAAAAAAGGCTGAAGAGAGCTCAGTGGCTTAAGCACCTGCTTGACAAGTGCAAGGTCCTGAGTTCTAGCCGCCGCACCAAAAAAAAATTTGAAAAAAGAAAAAGGCACTGCCTTTGAGATGCTTGCTTGCCTAGCTGGTGCGGACAAGTCCCACAGTGATGGGCAGAAACTGCCAGGGGTGTCCGTGGTGAGCACCTGCTTCCACATGAAATCATGCCAAGTGCCTCTTTGTTTATCAGCAACCTGCTATGGATTCAATAAATGTTTGTGGCCCTCCAAAATCCACATGTTAAAGGCCTAATTCTCACATAACGATGTTAGGAGTTGAGGCTTTTGGGGAAAGAAAACTGTCACGACTGGGATTAGTCCCACAAGCCCCTGACCACTTTTTAGAGAATGTATAGCAACAAATCCTCATCTTTGCATCGCTAGTTAAGGCTCAGTCACCAGAGATGTGTGGAATTTGGACCACTGACACACAGCTTGTTTAAGGCAGTCTCATAAAAGCTGACCACCTCTGGTCTCAGAGAATACTGCCCTTCAGGGAGCACTGGGCAATGTCTAAGGACAGTGTTTGGTTATCAGAAAGGGTACAAACAGTCCAGGTGGTGCATGCCTGTAATCCCAGCACTGGAGGGACTGAAAACAAGCGGATCACTATGAGTCCAAGCTGCCTAGTGAGATCCTGTACGAAATACATTAAAAAAAAGTATGCGAGGGGGTTGGGAGCATGGGTGGGACAAATGGCATCTACAGAGATGAGCATAGGGAGGCTGTTCAATATCCTAACATGCAGTTAGCCCAAAGCAAAGGGGGTACCCAACCCCAAGGTTGGGTGCCAAAGAAGAGAAATCCTGCTCCAGAGGCACTACTGCCCCCTCCCCCACACACACTGAAAAGTGGGCAAAAATTAGCCCTTGGTGTCCAAGAGTCTTGTTTTCTTATATGTAAAGAATACATAGGCCTTCAGTACATTACACAGTGCCAGCCCGCCACACTCATGGGTTCAACATTTGTGGATTTAGCGGAACATGAATCAAAATGAAACAAAAAAAAATTCTTTTTAATTCCATCTAAACTTAACAAGGTGATACAGATTTGTAATCCCGGCTACTCGGTGGACTTAGGCAGGAAGATGGCAAGTTCAAGGCCAGCCAGAACAACGTATCAAGATCATATCTCAAAAACTTTTTATCTACATAGATATATCTACATAGATATATCTGTCTGTGGGCTTAATCCCAGTACCACACACCAGTTCCAGTGCATCTGTACAGAACATGGATAGATTTTTTTTTTCCCTTGGGGTTACCCTTTAAACAATATACTGGAACAACTTCTCCACAGTGTTTACGTTGTAAGAGGGATCGTAACCAATCTGGAGATGGCTTAAAGTATGCAGGAGGATGTGAGTTGTTTCCATGCAAATAATGGGCCGTTTTATATAAGGGCCTGGAACATCCACCCACAAGGGTTCTGGAGCCACATTTTTGATACTAAAATTCTCTTTGGGATAGGGAGGGTGCTTAGAATGAAAATGTCTAAAAAGGCTCCTTAGGAAGTAGTAACAGCAGTTGGGGGCCGGGGAGATAGCTCAGTAGAATAAGGGCTTGCCTGGAAGTAGTAACAGCAAAGAGATTGAGAAACACCATTCTAGAAAAAAATGACACTGATAAAACTGAGAAAGGGGCAAATACATTACTTGGGTGTTCAGGTAGTCCTACCACCTCCCTACCATGTTTATTCAGGTCCCAGATGCGAAGAGTCTTATCCCGTGATGCAGAGACCAAAATTAAGCTGCCACTGGGTGTGAAACTCAAATCTCTCACAACATCCTGGTGGCCTGAAAGATTCAACAGCAGGAGTCCTGAAAGCAAAGCACAAGCAGTCAGCCGAGAGGTAGCTCCCAGAGTGCCTAATCAGGATACAGCAGCCAGGAATGACCTACCTGTCTGCACCTCCCAGATCTTGATCTGCCCATCATTGAGCCCTGTGGCAAGGATCAGGCAAGAGACGTCTGGCACTTGGGCATGGTGGCGCGCCCAGAGTTTCCGGCTGGGTGGAGAAGGCCAAGGGCTGAAGGCCAAACCCCAAACGATCTGACCACAGTCCAGTGTCTTCTCTTTTGGGCTCCCTCGACCTTTTGTATCGCTTTTGCTGCTTCGAGTTTTGGCTTCGAACCCTTTAGGGATGCTGCAGAAGGCAGAGATCTCTTAGTGAGTCTAAAATTATGATCAGGTTAACCAACTCATCATCCAGGGCAGTAAGACTTTGAAGTCAAAGAAACAAATTTTGGCTTTTAGTGAATTCTGGTGTGACTTCTTCTGGTTTTACTTCGGGATTCATGTAATAGAAGCCTTGGCTCATCCCATCTGCAACAGCCTTGCACTGGGTGGCCTGCCTTATAGGATAACTCAATCAGAGAGGCTCAAGGATACCACAACTCACTCAGAATGTTCTCCTGGGTTTGGGTGCATGGAAAAGAAAGATGCTCTCAGTTTTCCTCATGAGAAGCCATATTCATACTGTAGGTTTAGAACTAAGACAGACAGAATTAGAGCCTGCATACTCAGCTACTGCTGTCTTGCCTAAGAAGCCCCTTATCTTCAACTCAGAAACCCTCCAGGAATTGGGAAACAAATCCCTTTGTCCAATATAGTTTTTGTTTGGTACATATTGATATCCATCTTCACTTATGAGGTTCCAGTCAATAATGAGAACCTCTTACTCACTTTCCTGATAGTATATTCAAGACAGAAGCCATTCAGTGCAGTCGTCAACAGAGACAAAGAGCTGCCTTGGAAGGTCTCTTAACCCAGACCCTCCCACTCTCGTGGTGAAACAGGTCCTGATGAAGGAGGCTCAGTCCCCAAGTCACTGGGCCCTACCCTGCCTACCACTGTACCCAAAAAATAAAGTCCCAAAGGCACAGGCAAGTATACAGCTCTTTAGTTTGGCCTGAAAGCACAAAGTTTAGTACTATGTGTACTATATTTTACTGGCACAAACAATACATACCACTTTGAGTATCTTTGATCATAACTTTGTGTAGCTGCACCTCTTTATTCTATGTGTTCTGAAAAGTTCTGAGTAAATTACATCTCTGTTCAACTGTGTGGTAAAATATACTAAAGAATTTTTAATTATTACACCTATAAAACTAGAAGGAACTAAAGCAAGCGCCAGCTCTCCTGATGTAAATGAAGCTGGCAAACTATGCCCAGGTCAGCAGTCTAATTTTTTTATTATTCATTCAACAATCCTTTTGTCTGGGTCAACCAAATAGCTCAGCACAACCAGGTTCGATCCCTGGGCCTGCCGTGCCGGTGCCGGCCCCGCCCCTAGGGTGCGCTGAGACGGCAATTGAGACTGGCATGGTGGCACATGTGCCTGTAATCCCAGCTCTTGGGAGGCTGTAAGCAGGCAGATCATTACAAGTCTGATCTAGTAGTGAGACCCTGAACACCCTGTAGACCCTTCCCTAAAATACCAAAAAAAAAAACAAAACAAAAAAAACAACCTTTTGTCAAATTTTTAAGTCAATTGTATAGTTTGCAAAACTGCACATACTTAAAATGCACATTATAAAATGGATGAAGTAAGCTAATTAACATATATCTCACCTCACATATTTTTGGTTGGGAGAACAGTGATGATCTACTCCTTTAGCAATTTTCAGTCATACCTGAATATTAACTACCATGAACACATTGCACCAAATTTTCCAAATTCATACTGCCTTACTCTCTGTGGCCTTTGAGCAGGATCTCCTAGCCCCGTGCACCTAAGCACAATATCTGGGGGCCACCATTCTATTCTCTTAAGAATTTGACTTTTCTTAGATAAGAACATGTGGCATTTATCTTTCTACACCTAATTTACTTCATTTAACATATAATGTCCTCCAGGTTTATCCATGTTGTAGAAAATGACAGAAATTTGATTTGGTAAGTAAAGAATTACTGGAATCCTGTCACTTTCACTTGTTAACATAGTGCTATAATGACACAACTGAACAGTCACGATAAACTATATGGCCCATGAGATGTAAAATATTTACAGTTTGGGCCTTTATAGAAAATGTTTGCTGGCCCCTGGCCTAAATCACTACCAATAATTTGAAAATGTATTTTCCCGGCTAAACAAGGTGAATGTGAGTGTCCAGTGTGGACCTGTCCAAACCACATACTGCCTTCTCTTCCTGTCCACACTACCCACACCTGCCTGGCCCTAGAGCAGGTCCCTGAGTTTGCCATCTCTGGAAGGGCTTTAAAAGCAGTCACAAGCTGGGGAGATAGCTCAGCAGCATAAGCACCTGCCCAGCAAGCATATGGTCCTGAGTTCAATCCCAAGTACCAGAAAAAAAAATCTGTCTTTGGGCCAAGAAGACAGCTCAGCAGCATAAGTGCCTCCCTGGCATGTACAAGGTCCCAAATTCAATTGCTGGTACTGAAAAATAAATAAATGAAACAGACCACAGGAAGAACTTCATAGAATAGCTTAGAATTTCCAAAGTTACATTTTAAAAAAAAATAAAGTTCTTGGGCTGGTAAGATAGTTCAGTGGTCTAAATTTAGCACCCTGCTTAGGCAAGCTTAGGCAGGCACTAGAACCACGGTTCAGTCCCCATCCCCGGCACCACATGCCTTGCCACTCCTGCCCTCAGGGCAGGCTGAGCTGGCCAAAAAAAATTCTGATTTCTGTATTTAAATTAAAGGATACACCCTAAAGCCACTTCGTTCCAAAGAAATAAAAGCACATTTATATATCACTTCATTTTAATATCATAAATTGAATTTTCCTAGAAAGAAAAAGTTACACACTGCTTAACAACAGGGATACATTCTGACAGCAAGAACTGACTTCACAGTTAGGTGATTTTGGCATCTGGGGAACATCACCCAGCTACAACTGTAATTGTCAATTGGTAAAGTTTAAAAAAAAAGAAACGTGGGCAATCTGGAAGTTAAACAAATAATAAAAATTACCTACAATCCTAACACCATTCTTGTCACAGTAAACACTTCATTACAAATTTCTACTTGTGAATGTACATATGGACTGTAAAAATAAATTTTGGGTTAATTGCATATATGGTTTTATAGCTTTTTTCCGATAAGCCTTACACTGTACACTTTTTTTTTTTTTTTTAACGGAACCAGGGATTGAACTCAGGCGCTTGCATTTGCCAGGCAAGCACTTATTCTACTGAGCCTTCTGGATTGAACTCAGGCGCTTGCATTTGCCAGGCAAGCACTTATTCTACTGAGCTATCTCCCCGGCCCCTGTACACCTTTTTCCCCAGGTTATTATTCTTAAAAATGTAAGCCAATAAACTTTCCATGTAACATATTAATTATATTTTTCTCATGCTAAACAAGATACTGTACATAAAAAACGTTAATAATCAAATACTTTATTTTCTTTCATACTGAAATAATATATTTATCCTACAGTAATACATGTATTTGAAAATGCATTTTGGGGAAAACAACTGAGTTTCTATTTTATTCTTTTTTTAGGAAAAGTTTCTTGGACAATGACTTGGTACCAGACTCAAGGTTAGACACACAGGAGTCGCTTATACTTTAAGTGAGGATAAGAAACAGTGATTGACCTCGGTATGACCACTAGACTAACCATGGAAGAAATGCCAGACAGCTTCAAAAATAACACATGGACATGCAGCAGTTGCCTTACCACCCTCTCATCACTGAACTTTAAGCTAGTCCTGATTTCTTTCTGCTATATTGATAAGTTATATTATTATATCTGTGGAAAACCCTAGATGTTAAGGTATCTGACTGCAAGCTCCTAATATTCAGACACTGGGACTGACCTATCCCAAAGAGAAAAAAACTCAACTAGATCAGTAATGGAAAGAAAAAGACCCAATTTAAAAATGGAAAAAGATCTGAGTATTTCTCCAAAGAAGGTGTACAAAAAGAACCAACAAACTCACACAAAATGGCGCTCAGCAGCAGTAGTCATCAGAGAAATACAAATGTAAACCACTGAAATTGTACTTCACACCCATTAGGAATGCAATGCGGGAATCAAGACAAGAGGTGGCAAGGATGTACAGAATGAGAAACCTGGGGCCAGCCAGATGGCTCAGTGGACTAAAGCGCCGCTCAGGCAGACACAGAGTGTGGTGCTGGCTATGCCCCCGGGGCGCACTGAGAGGGCCACTGAGACTGGGCATGGTGGCGCAGGCCTGTAACCCCAGCGCTTGAGAGGCTGAAAGCAGGACGATCACTACGAGTCTCATCTGTGTAGTGAGACCCTGGAGACCCTGTACTAAATATAATTGAAAAGAAAAAAGAAAGAAAAGAATGAGAAACCTGAATCTATGGCCATACACTACTGGTGAGAACATAAATGGTGCCAGCACTCTGGAAAAGAGCCTGATTCTTCCTTATCTGACAAAATCAAGCGACTACACAAAAGACTTCTATGTAAATGTTCAAAGCCAAAAAGTTTAAAAAAAAAAAATTAAAAATCCATCAATGAGAAATACATGAATAAAGTCTACCTCCCCTGAACTATGCTGCACTACACAGTGATAAATGGAAATGCAGCAGTGGTACAAAATACAATACGCATGAACTGTGAAACATTAGGCTCGGAGTGGTTCCTCAAAAAACAAGTCACATCTCAACACTGAAATGTCTGTAACTGGCAGATCCACAGACAGAAAGATTAGCTGTTGCCAGGCAGTGGTAAATATGAGGGGCTGGGGATGTCCACAAGGGGATGCAGGGTTTCCTTCAGAGAAGATGAAAGTGGTTAAAATTGATTATGACGATGCAGGCACAACTCAGTGAATATACTGAAAGCCACTGCATTAGATACTTTACATAAGTGAGTTGTATAAGATCACGTTGTATCTCTGTAGGGCCTGGGATATAGCTCAGTGACACAGCAACTGCCTAGCAAGCACAAGGTCCTGAGTTCGATTCCTGATACTCAAAAAAAGTTTTTCTTCTCTCAATAAAGCTGTCAACTCAAGCTCCCAATCTTGATATAACTTAACTTTCCCACATACAGAACATGGGGCTCCGGAAATGCCCTGCCCAATTCCTGAACTGTTGTTCAACCCTTTGCCAGCTTTATTTTGGACAGGGAGAACCCAAAACAATGTAATTTGTGGAAGTGGTCCTGCACCCCATCCGGAAAACGTCATTGCTCCGGGTGCCAAGAGTACTCACAACTGCTCCTCCAGAGGCCAGGGAATCAGCTTGACGATGCAGTGTCCTTGAGACCAGGCGAACCAGGAGCCATCAGGTGAGAAGGCCACACTCCAGGTTTCACAGCTCGACTTCCAATCAAACTGGTGGGGGCGCCCTGGCTTGAGTTCAGCCAACAGCAGCGGTTCCTCTGGGGCAGGAGACAGCATGCTTCAAACACACAACCTCACTCCCAACCACCAGACTCTGGGAAGCAGCAGTCTACCCTCAACTACGGAATCATCATAGATTCCCAGTGGGAGTTGTCATTTAAATGACCTGTAGCAGTAACAGTACCCACAGGCCAAATTCCACCAGGGTTTTATTCAGCCCCAGCCTTCCCTGGGCCAGTTAACTGTGAGTCAGGGAAACCTTTGTACTTGTAAACCTAATAAACGGAGGTCTCATTTTCCTATGAATGCCCAAGCAGGAAGAAAATGGAGGTGACACCAAGCCAGCACTACACTAGACCATGCAAGATTAGAAAAAAAAAATTTTGTTGGTTTTTTTTTTTTTGGCAGAACTGGGGATTGAACTGAGGCCCTTGGGCTGGCAAGCGCTTATTCTACTGAGCCATCTCCCCGCCCCCAATTAGAAGATATGTTAGATACACTGGATCAATTCAAACAGCCAGCCATGAGCGCACTTAAGATCCCATCAACAGAAACTGTTACAGAGAAACAGGCAGGAGTAGGAAAATCTGCAGCTCAGAGTCCTTGTTACAGCATCCTCCCCACCAAGCTAAAAACATTAAACTTTACCTGCCCCCTTCTTGTTAAAGCCTATAGGTTAGGCCTCCGGTCTTCCCCACTTTCATCTCCTCTTTCATCTCCATGTGTCCTGGTTTCTATCTTTGTCTCATCTTGCCCAGATTTTTTGCAAGAGTCACTAAATTCATGTTCCCACCCCCAGAAACCCTTGCAAAGCTGAAAACACACAACATGACTAACGCATCATTTCTTTCAAATATTTTCCAAGTCCCCACCTGCCTACAGGATAAAAGCTAATCAGTCCAGGCCTTCCACCCAACCCTCTGCCATGGCACCTCTGTCCTGCTCCTCTCCCATCACCTCCTGGCCAAGTCTCCCTGATATGTGTGCACATCCCTTCCTTTCACGCTCATACTAGACTCCTTTGGTTTATGAGACTCCCACCTAGATACAAGTAAGCAGCAGCCCCTCATCTCATGCTATCAAAGGGGAAATGTTTATTTCATTCTCTGCTGCTGTAACCAGCACCTAAGCACTCTCCTGACACTACCAAGGTTTAATCTTCCTCCATGGGCCTGCACAGCGTCTTGGGAGAAGGCACGGCACTAGTGCGCCCTGGTGGACTGAACTGAATTCCTAGTTCAATTTTCTACTCTGCTGGAAGAGCTAGCTCCCTGGCTGGCACAGCCTGTGAGTTAATGGCCTTGAGTATGGATTGCCTGGCCACTATGACTGATACATACTAAAATTTAAAAACAGGCTTCCATCCTGAATGAGGTCATTTCCTCCTGTTCCACTTCAGCAGTTCCAGTCTGTGACACTTTTATGGCTGTTACCAGATAGGTACTCATTTAAACCACCTATCATTTCATGTATTTTAAGATGCATCTTTATATCTCTCCTTACATTTGACTTCTATGAAATCAATCTTATGACTGATGCCTTCTCATAGTTAAATAGTATCTTTTCTCAGTGACAGACTGGTAACATCCTCTATGATGTCTTGGATTCAGTGCAACAGACTCAAAGGTGCACATATATATTTATATATAAATATTTTCTGCTGTGTGCTTCATAGGCAAATAGCTGCATCTTGTTTTATAAAATTGGCTACTGAAAATTGTCTTTCAATAGAATTTTAATAAAATTGATCACACCTTTGATCACAGAGAAGGGTCTACATAGAAATCCAGATTTAATTAGTAAATCTAAATTGTCCTTTGTTGTCAGGTACAGTGGCAACAATCCTAGACTGAGGTGAGGCAGAACTGTCAAATTCAAGGTCATCCTAGGCAATTTTGCAAGACCATTTCAACATGAATAAATAAGAAAGACTGGGTCACCATTTCAACATGAATAAATAAGAAAGACTGGGTCAAGTGTGGTGGCACGCATATGTAACCCCAGCACTCAGGAAGCCGAGGCCGAAGGATCACCTCAAGTTCAAGGCCAGCCTGGGCTACACCATAGATTCAAGGCCTGCGTAGAACACAGTGAGAGCCTGTCTCCAAAAACCAAAAAAGGGAGATTGGGTGGAAGGGTTTTTGGGGACATAGCTCAGTGGCAGAGCATCCCTGGGCTCAACACCCGGTACTGCAAACAGTGAAAAACAAAATAAACTGACACTTGTATAAACACAGGTAATTCCTTCTAAAAATCTGTGCGACCCTTTCACCATTTCACTTACTCAATCACACAATGTTCCTGTGTCTGCGCATAGGAACATTTACCTAGTAAGTCACCTTATACATTACCCAAAAAAGACCTCTAGAGGTTAGAGAGGCACTCGCCAACATTTTCTTTAATCTCATTATCTCCAGCTAGTTTCCTAGTGTGACCTAAGCCCTAACCTACTAACGTCTTCTTCATGTAGCCCAGGGGTTCTCAAATGGGGGCAATTTCCCCATGAGGGGATGTGGTAATATTTGGAGTCATTTTTGATTATCCTAAAGTGGGTTGTCACATCTAGTGGATGGAGGGTAGGACAGCCCCCACCAAAATGTCAACAGCGCTAAGGATGAGGAATATAATTGTAGTCAATTAGCAAATGATACTGACACAGAGGTGCATTTTCAATTGATTTGGATGAGAATTTCTTTATTCCACCCTGGTAACATTTACATCTGGCTGCTCACCCCTGTAATCCCAGCACTCGGGAGGCTGAGGCAGGAGGACTGCAGAGAGTTGGAGGCCAGCCTAGCCTAGATACAAAGTGAATTCAATGCCAGCCTGAACTACACAGCGAGTTCAAAAAAAAAAAAAATTACACTTGGTTAATTTCCTCCATAACATACACATTATCCTTTTGCACTGTGGGCTCTGTCCTGTACAAAGAGCTTCTTCACCCTTGATCTCTCTCACCTCCCAAATCTAATCCATTCCCTTGTCCAAGGAAGTCAGTTTCCAAAAGCCTTGCCAAATCTGCTTTCTGCCCATCTCCATAGCTTCTATTTTAATCTCCACGGTACAGTAGGCAGCCTTCCAGCCATTCTGTTGCTTCCCTTCTGCCCCTCACCATCCACTCACGATCCCTTCCAGAGTGTTTAGTTTCAACTGTTCTTAGAATAAAACCCAAACTCCTCACCCTGCCCTCAAAATCCTGGATTACCTGACGCCTCCCTTTGTTCCCTGGCTGCTCCAGTACCCTGGCCTTCTACCTCCTGCCTATGCTTGATTAGTTCAGGGCCTTTGTACCTGCTACTCCAAAAATGCTTCTCCAGACTGGGACGCTCTCTTCACTGGAATCTGGCTCACATGGTAACTCCTCAGGGAGCTCTTCTCTGACTCCTAGCCAATCTCCTTCATAACTCAAGGTCCTTTCCTTGCAGAACCACTCATTATAAACGTATTTCCTCCCCACTAGGATGTCCACTCCACTGCAAGGACCTGTATGTTTACCACCAATGCTAGCGGAGTTCCTGGCAGAGAGCAGGCAGCCAGTAAATGTATCTGGTGAACAAACACACATGCTATAGCTTTATAAATATAAATGCAACAAGGCCCCTTAAATTGTTAGGAAGCTTACACCAAACATTTCACATGAAATCCTTCCATACCAGCCCTACCCAAAATTCACACTCTATTTCTGTGATTTAGGAATTTAATCACTTGCTATTTCAAGTTCAGAATCAAAGAACTAAAAGAGGAAAGAACCCAGTGACTCCTGTCTCTTGGAGTCAGGGTTTAACTAAACTTGGCTACAGGAAAAGAAAACCATAATTAGTGCAAAACTTAGAAACAGAACAGAACTGAGCAGATCCAGCTGCATCTGGACTTGTACCTGAAGTGCCCCTTCTTGGTTTTTAAATGCTTATGGATTAGGGTTTTCTTTCTCTCCTTAACTTTTCAGTTGACAAATATTGTACACAGCATAACACAGGATGTGCTTACATGGGTGGACTGTGGAATGACTCAAGCAATTTACACATGCATTACTTCATATACTTCTCATTTTTGTAGTCAGGACATTTTTTTAAAAATCTACACTCAGCAATTTTCAGGTAGACAATATATTGTTATTTATTGTCTAGTCACCATGATGTACAATACTTGAATCTATTCCACCTGTCTAAATGGAGTTTTATCACCTCTGACCAACATTCCCTCAAACCCCCCTTCCTCAGCCCTTCCAGGTTTTTGCAATTAAACAATGGAGCATGTTTGGACAATCAGGTTGAATGGCAAGACTTTATTATGAGCCTCTTTTAGGCAAGGCAGTTAGCCTTAATACAGAGATGGAAGCTATGATCTCAGTGGGCAGGAAGTTTGGAGATGTTTCCTGCCTCCCGACCTTTGTATTAGCTGTTCCAAAGGCCTGGAAAGCTTCTCTTGGCTGCTCCAACACGTCTTGCTCACGTCACCTTCTGAGAGTCCTTCCTGGCCTCCCTATCTAAAGTGACCCACTTTCTTTAACCATTTCATGATAACCATCCAGATATTTGCTTGACTGCTTTGGCTGCTTTGATGTAGTTTGTTGCTTTTGTTTCTCTTCCCCAACCCACCTGAACTTGCCTATCTCTTCACTGCTACTGGACCATGCTAACCAGTAATTACCAGTCCCTCGTGGTTACTGGCACCTGAAATGTAGCAGGTCTGAACTGAGGTGATTTGATAGGTACAGAGTACACATCAGATTTTGAAGATCTAGAACAATTTTTTTAATCCTTTAAAAAAAATCCCAGTAATTTCTGATTACATAATGAATCAAGTTGAAATAATATTTTACATGTGTGGATTGAAACATACAGTTTTAAAATTCCATCTTTTTTTTTTTTTTTAAACTTGGCTACAACACTGTAAATCACCAATATGGCTGTTACATTTCTAACGGCCATCACTGACCTAGAGGATGCCTGGCACATAGTAAATAATCAATAAATATTTGAATGAATAAATGAATTTCAACGAATAAATGAATTCTGAAGATGTCTACTGTTGCTCATTGTAATCTCTTTACAATAGGCTTTATTCAGTTTGAAAAGAATGTAAAAACTCTACTGGTCTTTTTACTCTCTGGTCTTTTTTTTTTTTTTTTTTAAATAGTAGCTTGGCAGCTCAAAACAGCTCTCCCCACAAATCCCAAAACAGTTGTCAATAACTAGGAAAAACCCAGACCTGGAAACAGACTCCTGTGAAAAAGTGAGGCCTGCTATTGTTTTCGGATTTAGCTATAAGGAATCAATGAAGTGGCAGCGGAAGCTATAAAGAGATTCAGGTAAGCGCCACATGAAAACAGTAGGGACCATTTAGAAAGAATTCTATGGGTAATACACTCACTGAAAAGAAAAGCCCTTATCTAGATGGGAACGGGAAAGAGCTGCCTCTACACCTTTTACAGAAAGCCGGGCTCCAGCAAACAAAGAAATGTCATTTCCTAAATTAAAAAGTAACACCTCCCCACCCCAGGGAATGCCTGGATTTCAACCAACCCACCCCCAAAACCTGGCGATCAGCAGTCAGGGCCCTCCACATGAAAGCATCAACTTGCAACAAATCTAGAGCTTTAGGCCTCGGCCCCTTCGGAGTTCACCTAAGGAGACAGCCTAAAGGGGAAGGCCTGTGCATTTTCAGGAGTTCAGGGCTCTCAGAATAAATCCTAAACCCACCCCTAATTTCTATGTAAGTGGGGCACAGTAGCCAGACAGCTGGGAGATGCCTAAGATTTACGTCCTGAGGCTTTGCTTTTTGCTTTACAACCGCACCTTCTCCACTGAGATAGTGTGTTCTCCGGGCTGGCATGAAAGTCCATCCAATATTCTGACATGCATGCTGTTTTCCGACGGTGACAGCTGTGAGCTAGGACGGGGCAAGTGCTGGACCTCACCCTTAGGGGTAACCTTCACTCGCCTGATCATACGTGACACACCAGGGAAGAGCAACCCCGCCCCCCACCTCCAGGGAATTAGTCCCCAGGGGAGCGGCTGCGGCTACAGTACCAACAGGGACCCCGGACCTCACACGCAGGAACTGGCAAGTTTGGGATCTCAGCCACCCTCTGGGGCAAAAAGTGTTATTATCCACCTTGCGGAGACAAAACGGGTACGTGGGTGGGGACGGAGGGTAGTCGGGCAGCGCGGACGCCCCTGCACCGTGCGGGCGCGTCCGCCCTGGCGCCCACCCCACAGCTGACAGCGAAAGTGAAACAAAGCTGGACGCTCGCGCGTCCACGCCGCCGTCGGCCCGCGCCCGCTGCCCGGAGTCCCCGCCCCGCCCCAGGTAGCCACCGCGGCCAGCGGCTGGGAACGGCATCCGGCCCGACTCACCTCCGGCCTCCATGGAGGACACGGTCCGCGGCAGGCGGCGGGCGCCTCAGCCCCCCGGGCCGCCGGCCCTC